AAATGCACTGACATTGACATAAAAAAATCCCTAATACTGACTTATTCTAACAAACAAGCTACGGTCGAAGGATCGAAGACTGGTGAGTACCTAGACCTGAGGACTAGTCATTGAGGTCACTGCATGTTGCAATCAGCTAATTTGTTCATCACCAATCAGACGAGAGATCATTAGTCTCCATAAGGATCATCATGATTCCGATTTAATAATTTGCAGATCGAGGAGAACACCAGAGCACTGGAGTATCTCGGCCAGACGTGGGGTAGCCAGAGCAGTCTGGAGAGTCTAGGTACCCAGGGATCAGTTGCCAGTGAGAAAAAACGATTGAGCAGTGAAAAATGGAAGCAGGGAGCGAGAAAGACTCTCCTCCAATGGGTGACAAATGCATTGCCAAAGTAAATTCACTATTTTTTATTATCACACTATCTCTTATCAACCGAGATAAGCGCACAATCTCATGAATAAACATTCCTACCCCTTCGACCACCTCCACACACACCAAACAAATATACACCGATCAAAAATAAATACCAATAAATAATCCACGGATTAAATAAATAATTGCAGAGAAATGGGAATAACTGTTCGCGATTTCGGTGAGAGTTGGAGAGATGGAAATGCTTTCTTGGGAATAATTGATGCGATAAAAAAGAATCTTGTCAATATTGCGGGAATGAGAGGTGCGACAAATCGCAGTCGTTTGGAGACGGCATTCAATGTTGCTGAGGAGAAATTGGGAATCGCACGTCTTCTGGATCCTGAGGACGTTGATGTACCTCAGCCAGATGAAAAATCAATTATGACATACGTTGCACAATTTTTGCACAAATATCCAGAGCCGAGGTCGTATGATAATGATTCGTTTGCTACTGTTCAGCAAGAGTATGATGGTCTTCTTACTTGGCTCAATGAACGCATCAAAATGCTTGAGCAATTTGAGAGGACACACTCATTTCCTTCTAATTACGCTGTAAGTCTAATGATCTGATAATAATTAATTACATCCCTTTCATGTATTAATTAAATATTTCCCGAATTTAAAGACGGGAAAATTCGGGGAAATTCGGGGAAATTCGGAGAAATTTGAGTACAAATGAAAATGTTGA